CTGAACTTTTTTTTTTTTTTTTTTTTTTGGACCATTTCTCGATTTATGCGTGTCATCCTTGCGCAGGGGCCATGCTAATCTTCACTGTATCGTTCCAATTTTAACGGATGTCCCGAAGGACCATTCACTGAACTTCTCACATCACCCCCAGCGGCAAACCGCCGAGATCAAAAGAGAATGCCACTGGACCGAGGGAAAAAAAAGAAAAAAAAAAAAAGAGGGACGCACAGCCCGAGAAGGGTGACGGAAATGGGAGAGAAGAAGGGAGAAGAGCCTCAGGGGAGAAAGGAGGGAGAGAGAGAGAGAGAGAGATGGGGAATAGGAAGGAGAGAAGGTGGAAGGCGAAGAAAAAACTCACAGGTCGATAAGACTTCCATTTGTGTCGCACAGGATGCCGCTGGACCAGCACGGCTCGTCGCACCAATGAAGCACCGCCTTACACGCCTCTGCTTGAGAGACAGTGCTCGGCGTTTTCCTGTGTCGCCGGTACGTCTCACATGCACCTCTTCTCCTGCGACCGGTCGTCGGCTCCATCAGAGAACAACAGGTTGCCAGCATGTTATCTATGGCCCTCTTTTCGCTATCCGTCATCCTTGCCTGGTTATCATAGTACTTAGCCTCTAGAACGAAATCACAAGAGGCAGAATGATCTGCAACAACGGAAATCGTATAGGTTGCTGAGAGGCTCGATCTGTCGACGGCAAGGGAATCTCGAAGCAGATCGTCCTCGGAAATGACGATGTTCCCAAGCGTGGAGGTAGAGAGCTCCCACGTGGCCACACCTGGTTGGGGGGCAACGAAATTGCCGACGGCGCTGTGCGATCCAGGCGGCCCGAGCACGTACAACCCACACCTCCCATCATTGACCGTGATGGAGATGAGTAATTGGGGCCGGCGGCGGTCTAGAGGGGTGGAGGACTCTGGGGAAGCGAAGAGAGAGGAGGCATTGGTTAGGAGAGAGAAGAAGGCCACGTCATCAGGAGAGACCAGGCTGCCTTGGTGCGGCCGCGGGTCGTCGGTCGAGATCGCGACGACGTTAGCGCTAGCGGGGGCGGAAGAAGACGCCGGGTTTGCGTTTGTCATCTGGGGGGAGGACGGCTCGCTCATCGCTGAGGACGAGAGAGGAGGGGGGGAGGAGGGAAAGGAGGGGGAGGAGGGGGAGGAGGGGGAGGAGGGGGGGTTAGAAAAGGGGGGGGGGGGGGGGGAGGAGGAGGAGGAGGAGGAGGAGGATTGAGAAGGTAGCAAAGAGACGGATCCCGACGACGGCGGCGGCGGGGATGAGGAAGAGGCGTCCGAGGGGGGGGAAGGAGGCAGAGGGGAAGAAGAGCTCAGGCCGATAGAAGGCAATAACGGGTTAGCATTCGAACGAGGAGGAGGAGGAGGAGGAGGACGAGGGCGAGGGCGAGGGCGAGGGGAGGAGGAGGAGGAGGCGGAGGAGGTGTGAGGAGAGGGGAGACCTGACGAGGAGGGAGTAGAAGGGCTGGGACGAGAAGAAGATTGGCGCAGGTGACGGCCGCCGGCGGCGACGATTGCTTCCCCGGGCCATATCCCGCCAGACCGCACGTCCCGGTGGTGGCTATCGGGATCGGGATGAGTAGTGGCCAAGGAACCCCGCTGGAGATGCGAACGAGTGGTGGCTGTCGGGATCGGCATGGTCTCCAGAGCTCCGATTGCGACTGGTTGCGTCGTCCCGACGGGAGGAGAGTCGAGCTGTGAACCCCGATTGCTGATGGCAGAAGAGGAGGAGGTGGGGGAGGAGGAGGAGGAGGAAGAAGAGTGGAAACGCCCTACTGCAGCTGTGCTAGGCGACGCAGCATCTACTGTCGCACAGACGGCACACATGGCCGCCACAAGGATGACTAGCAGAGATAAGCCCGACATTGTCACACTGGTCGTAATGGTCCCCCGCACGCTCATCTTCTCATGAATCAGATCGCAGGCTCCAGCCCCCGTCTTGTGATCATCAATCCCAACAGCATGACCAAGATCCCGACCACGATCCCCCATCAGATCGTCGGCCAGCGGAACTCCAAAAAAAAAAACGCGCGAGTCCTAGGAGGCTAGGACCCCTCTCAAGCACAGATCGAAGGAAGAGTGCTAACGCGAACCCGAAACTCTAGAATCTCGATCAATCAATCATCAATCAATCAATCAACCAATCAATTCATCAATCAATCAGGAATGTAGATCTTTTCCCTCGATCTTGGCCCGCAAAATCTTTCATTCCCTTTGACCGTAAAGCTGGAGCTCCTAACGGTACAGCCTTCCGTTAATGCGTCAAACGTCTACCGTCTTCCCCCGAATAGAACGTACGGTCCTTATGTCCGTATTTGGCCCATCTCTCAGTCCAGATGCAACGAAAATGACAGCAGGTAAAAAATTCGGGTGATGACGGTGGTAACGTATTCGCTAACGGCTTCCTTCGTTAACCTGCTACGACATCGCGTTGGGAGGAAATGAAAAATGGCATCCTTTCTGTTTTAGCCTTTACGGAAAAAAAAAAAGTGGGCATGTCAAAACAGCGGATCGACTGGATTCACATTAGGACAACTGCATGGCATCAACGAAGGAGGAGAAGAAGAAGTGCCAAAAAAAAAAAAAAAA